GGTCATTCGTTGGAACGACCATATAGACTCTCTAACCCCGACTTTAACTGCGCACTTGGTAACATAGCCGGAAAAGGGGATTTCCCCACCTGCTCCCCGGACACTCCCCGTGACCTCCCGATTGATTGGACACCCAACAATTGTTGCGAAGTCCTTGCGAATGAGTGTGATTTCTGCCCCGCCATCTACCAGTGCATCCGTATGGTGGGTGTCAATCTGGACTTTCAGTTTCCCTACCGGTAGCGCATGGAAACTCAGTTTCGTGCCAGGCGGTGTCCTCATGACTTCTCCGCCTTCCCGGTCTGGCAGACTTAGCCGGATGTCTGCGAAGGCCTTCTTTAGATCTTCCAGATCCCCGGGGGCCCTATGAAGGTTTGCCACTTCTCGCGGTGGCTCCTCTTCCTTGCCTTCTTCGCGTACATCCGGTTCCTCCGCTACTTCCACCCTTTGCCTTGTTAGCAGCTGACTTAGGCCCTTTAGTAGTCTAGGACTAGCCTGCAACATGGTCTGGAAGGAAACCGATACCATGGTCCCTAGCAACTGGCTAAGAGTGTGGTCTATCTCAGGATCGGCAAGGATAGGGATCTGGTACCTGAATTTCTTCTTTGCGGATGTTACTTTGTCTACCGGCGCCTCCTCCCTAGGCTTGCCGTAAACTTTGTCCTGATCCGAATCTGCTGGCGGATTCGACCCTTCCTGCGCGTCTTTCATGACTGCGTCCTGAATTACCTTCTTTGTAGCACCCCGTTGTTTGGTGGTCACATTAACCCCGTCGCGGTCATCACTCTCGGTGATGAAGTTAACCTGGTGCCCTCACCCGGGTGCCTGTCCCCAGGTAAGTTCCTCTACTGGTTCGGCCTCAACCGCAACTGCGTCCAGGTTGTTAAGTACGATTACTGCTCGACGCATCCCTCCCAGCGAGTTCCCGTTTACCCTCTCTCCCCGTGGCCCCAGGATTTCCCCGCGCAAAGTTCTAAAGCACTGTTTAAGGATGATATCGTGGTAAAGCCTAGGACACATGCGGACAAAATGCCCGACTATCGTGCAGTACTTGCACTGCTCCTTGGCCGGGTCCTTTCGATTATTACCACGGTTGGCTATCCCTGGCGGTACGATTGCCTCTTGTGGCGGGAGGGGGGGTCCTACTGCTTGCGTTTGCGAGACCTGGGTTTGCATCACCAGTAAGGCATTCTCTACTCTCTCTATCTTGCCGTCAACCCCGTGGACCCGCTTGTGCAGGCTTTCGATTCCTTTCTTCACTTTGTCTCCAGTCTTGCCTGTCAAATCTATGATCTCTCCGTCTTTTAGCAGGCCCAACGAGTCGGTCACCACCATCTTCTCTGCAATGTCCGTTATAGTGCTGAAATCTACGTCTCTAGTGTTCAGGAACTTTGCTGTCTGTTGGTAGGCGGACAAAATCTTATCTTTGTCGAACTCGGTGAACTGTTTTAGGAAGTACTTGCTCATTATTCGGTCCGTCACTCCGAGGATTCGTAGTGCTACGAGAGTAAACTCCCTTAGGAAGTCGCTGTATGTTGCGAAATTCTTCCTCTGCACTGTAGCCAGTTCCGCATCCGTGGCCATCTTTTCGTCTGCTAGATACTTCCTCACCATCACGTCCCTAGCCTCTTTCCATGATCCGCTTGTTGCGACGATTGCCATTATGTCCCTACCTAGGTTGAGTGGCACATGCTGGCCTAGGTGCTCCATCTTTTCCTCCTCAGTCCATCTTAGTAAGGCTGCTAGATTTTCATAATCGATTAGGAACTTGGTGATGTTTCCGCCATCGAAAGTCAGCTTTTTCTTGGCGTCGGCCAAGTATCCCTGGTTTTTGCTTAGAGCACGCGTGAGGGACGACACCACCTTCCTAAGTCCTCCCTCAATCATCCCAGGTCTTGTTGCGGAACTCGGACCGGCGCCCTCCTTGCTAAAATCGAGTTTCCCTCTTGGCTTTGCGACCCCTTCCGGGTCAAACCATCCTAGCACCCTTTCCCTCAGGCTCCAGAGTCCCTCGCATCCCTTTGCACTTACAGGCGACGCTGAGGGTCGGCTTGCTCCGCTGTCCAGTAAGGGTGGATTGACTGGTCTATCCCTATCCTCCCTAAGGGATTCTATTCCTTCTTTCCCTTTCCTTGTTGGGGTATTCCTCGTGTCTCTGGGCCGATCCTTCCTGTGTTGTGCATCCCCATCCTGGCTTCCTTGCCCGAGGTCCAGTTCCCCTTCTTCCCACGTCCTGTCATCAGCGACATTTTTCTCGGCATCGTTCATGATCTCTTCCAATAGTTTTGCCCTGTATTCTGCCATGCGTCTCTCTACTTCGGCTAACTTTCTCCGTGCATCCGTTAGCCTGACCTTTTTCGGCTCCGCCCCCTCGGGCTGCTGACGTGCCGGACTTTCCCTGTCGCTGACTTCCTTGGTTCCCGGAGTCCCCCGTTTACTTCCCCCACTCTTTCCTGAATCTTCCCCGGGCACAGCGTCCTTGCTCCTCTCCCTGTCTCCTAGTGACTTTGCCGACCCACGATCCCGTAGGTCTCGCTCTTCTTGATCTACGTCGTCCTCTACGTCCTGATTTTCGTCCCTCAATTGACTTCCAGCCTCGTCTCCCGTGGCCATGTTTTCCTTCCTCTAGCCCTGTGATATGGAAGAAGGAATTTTTTTTTTTTGGCAATCGCACACATAGTTCTCTTAGCCTTTAGAATTGCCTATTTTTCACCCCTTTTTGCTCTTCCCTTTGCTTATCCTAGGTATCTTAGTCGCACCCTTGGCTGCAACGGCGTCTCTCCCCCCCCCCTTTTCCTGGCATGTGTTCAACCCATGGTAGACCTGGTCGCGGCCATCCAATCGGTTCTTTTATATCTATTTTTCTTTCCCTTTGGTTCTTATTTCTACCATCTTTCCCGACATCTTTCCTATGTTGGCTCTTCCGGTCTCTCCCTCTCATCCGGTTCCTCAAATAGTCTTGCCACCCGTGCGAGATAGTTCTCCCCCATCTCGAACTCCCTTATGATTATTGGCTCGTATTCCTCAAACGACAGACAGGGCGTTCCGAATATCAGGATCTCAAGAAGTTCCAACAATTCTCGCGCCCGATTTCCCCAGAATGGCCCATGCCTTACTGCCACGTCATAGAACATCCCCGTGGCCTGTGGTGAGAAGTAGCGTTCCCAGATTACGGTTGAATTCACCAGGTCCCTTGCCCGCGCAAGACTCCCAAAAACCAAATCAACCATGAACCGGGGCACCCGGCAGCGCAGTCCAGACATAGGGGCCCTAAAGTCTCGCCATCCCCCTACTTCTACTCGCGTCCTTAATCCCACATTCCGTCTTCCCCTAACCTCATGGCCTATCCGGTTYAGGACCCTGACTGCCCTYYGAAACACTGGTAACAACCCATGCCCCAAGGCCAGTCCAGTTCCCAACATTTGCCACCCGATTTCTGGGAAATATAGAGTCCCTGTCACCCTGAGGTCAGTATATAAGTCGTCTCCTGGCCCCCTATCGAATCTCATGCCACCCCATAGGCATTCAACTAGCACGAAAGCCTGATTCCGTCCTAGGGTCACAGCCCGCCATTCCGTATCTATCCCCCGGACAATGTAGCTTGCCGGGAGTGACACTTCCCATCCGCCTTCGGTTTCCATGGGCGGTTGCGGGTGCATGTCCCGCCGGTTCGTAGGGACGCGTTTTGCCGCCCTTGTTGGCGAATATCGCCCTGCATACACCACGCACAAAAAAAAGGGGAAAAGGAAAAAGGAACCTCTCTTTTTAGTTTTCTTCAAGCCCCCTTATAGCCCGATCCCGCTGATCTACCTTCCCCCTTGCTTTTCTTTTCTGCCCTCCTATTCTTCTACCCCCTCGAACAGCCGGCGGACGTCGTCCACATACGTCAGCCCGCATCCTATCTCGCGCCTAGCTATCTCCCACACGACTTCCTCGGTTACCGTCGGTATTCTAGGTCTAGCGCCCACTACGGCCTGTAGAATGTTTAGCACCTCGTACTCCTGCTCCTCATCGAACGGCCCTAGTTCCAGAAAGGCCCTGTAGTATTCCCGACAGACGGTCATGTTACTAAAACTCAACCTACCCTGGGCTATTACTGCCATCTCAGCACGTTCTACCCCTCCCATTCGCTCAAGCAAAAAGGGTGGCAAGACCGTGCGCACATTTTCATAAGGCAAGATACTAGCTCCTACCTCGACCACCTAGACGGTCGCCATTACGTCATCCTGGTCCGGGCTGGTGAACGCAATCCCTTCCCTCCAGGTCACCTGCCACGCCCCGTCAAACATCCGTACGGGGTCACCGTCATCGCCAAGGCCACCCCGAAGGTCTGCCATCCTGCATCCGACAAGTATAGGGACCCTGTCACGCGCACCTGTCCTGGCAACTCCAGGTTGGTGCCCCCAAACTCACCCCTTGCGCGCCATTCTAGTTCCACCACCAGGTACACCGTGTCCTCTACCAGTTCTACCCCAACCTAGTCCATCAACGGATTATACACCCCGCCCCTGGAGGGCAGGCTAACCTCCACCCTTCTATCCAAGAAACGTGGCGGCAAGATCCCTCGCGACCGAGTTTCCCAAAGCGTCATATGCCTAGCCATTTCTCGTTACCTGCTCCCGCTCCTCGCTCTTGATTTCTGCATGCACCACGTTAGTCAAGTTCCCTTAGTTCTCGTCTTCTCCCCTTGTCTCCTAGTTACCCTAGGCCCCCCCCTCTCTATTTCGGTCCCCCCCCGCCTTGTGTACACTACCCCTTCTTTTAATGTACAATGCCCTTTCTTTTCCCAGTCAATCCCCCCTTTTCCCCTGTCTTCCCAGGTCCGTACTCAAATCCATAGGACCTCAAACAGCAAGAAGACGTCCCCTACATACGAGGGCGCTGCGACTATTTCCCGATGGAGTATCGCCTCCTCGACTTCCTCTCCTACCTCTAGTCGGTAGTCCTTAAGTTCCTTCAGGATCTCGACCACTTCCTCAACCCGGTCCCCGTGAAACGGCCCGAATCCCAATGACGCCTCGTAATAAGCGTCTGATAACCAGGCGAAGCCTATCTCTACCTCATCCATGGATTCCGCTACGGCGCGGATATGTTTGTACCCTCCGAACCAGTCCGCAACAAAATGCGGCACCATCACCTGCACTAATTGGTAGGGGAGCCTAAGGTCCTCCCATCCCCCCATCACGACCCTGCTTCCCACTTCATCCCACCCCTCATTTGCAAAATCCTGCCCCATTTCCCAAGTTAACCGCTCGACATCCTCTAAAATCCACATCGGGTCTCGTCCCGCCGCTAGTTGCGTGCAAAACATATACCACCCATTCTTCGAAAGGCACACCGTCCCAAGTGCTTCCACGTTCCCCTCGGCTATTTCATCCCACGCCTCGTTTTCTCGAACCGGATCCCACACCCGTTCTACCCACAAAAAGGACATAGTCGGTACCATCTCTACTCCCACCCAGTCGCAGGCCGGGCCGCGCCACTCGTTTCAATCCACATCTATCGGCATCTCTGGTCCACCTGAGTAGGTCGGCGACGCCAGCCACTGCGCCATCCTGCCTTCTTTATACCAGTGGCCAAGACCTGTTTCGTCCAATGAGCGCACCAATCGGCCCTCGGGTTAGGTCCACCATTATCCTAGATGAGCGTTGTTTTAGAGACCCCTCATCAAGGTCTCCCTAAAGTTCTCTGCCCATCCTCCAAGCGTATCACCGAGCGCCCCATCCCTAACCAGTCCCCCCCCCATCGATCACCAGTCGCTCGCATTCCTTTTTCTTGGTTCCACTTTCTTCCGACTCCTGTCCAACCTCTTCCTCATGTTCTCTCACTCGTGCGGACTTAGACTTGGAGGTGAGAATAGACTTAGAAGCTCGGTCCCCTTCCAACATTCATCAGGCAACTTTACAGAGGGAGGCACAAAAAGCAAAACCAGACAAAACGTCGCACACAGGTCGGTCATCTCCTCACCGACCTTTTCCCCAGAAATGGTCTCTCCACTGTTACTATCGGCAGGGTTTTCAGCCCATACCCCAGCACAGCTCAACCGTCGCGAGCGCGGTACCCAGGTCTCGGCAAGGCATTCGCCCTTTCCTCCTTACCCAGAATACCCCATCCCGACTTGCCGCTCGTGTACCCATCGTTAATCTCGGGAATCAACCCGCACATCTCGTAGGGCCATTGGAGCCAGCCGTCCAGGCATTCACTTCCATCGGTCCGATAAGGAACAACTCTTCCGAAGCCATGCTACGAGAAGCTTTTAATCGCCTCCGAGGCTCCTTCCTTGCCCCATATGCAGTGGTCCCCCTGCCGTCTGCCGACAAGCAGCCGCCCCACCTGAAGAGGTTTCACATCCCGCCTGGGCAAGGTCATCGAGCCATGCTCGGACCGCTCGGGTGAGAATGCTACTAATCAGCCGACGAGACCAACCCTTGCCTGACAGTCCGGTGGCCCGACCCCCACACATGGAACCCGGTGAACTTCCAAGAGGACGACCAGTTCGCATCCCGCACCGGTCGGCGCAAACCAATCCTTTCCTTCCGAATGGCAGGACGCTCAAAATCCCAATCATGCAATCACAAGCCCCAAGTGGGACACACATAACATAAGTGCCTTTCCCCTGGTGCACCCAACGCTTCCTACCCATAGCTCACAAATTTTCTCTCAGGACAGCCTGTGCCACTCACCCCTACTTTTCATACATAGTGCCCGGTTCCTTTTCGTGAGCATCTTCAAGGGGGAGCTAGTTTTTCCCTGGAGTCTAGCAACTCCCTTCATTCCCTTCATCTTCACTTGTGTGTCCGTTCATAGGGCAGGATTGTTCCTTCTCGATTAATGTTTGTGTTCATATGAGGTTCCTTCAAGCATTTAAGTGCGGTGCACGGAGCCCGCTGGGCTCTGAAGAGAAGCAGAGAAGCACCCAGGTCGGTCGGATCAATTCGCCGCGGGATTTTCATTGGAACCCGGACTGGCCCGGAATCCCAACCGCCTGCCAGGTAACCGGAGCCCTTCTTTCACACGAAGAGGAAGGGTCGCCCAAGGCTTCCCGGCCTGAAAAACATCAATCCAAGGGAAGGAGGACTAGAGTCATCTCCAAAGAAGATGGCTGAGTAAAAGTGCAAACATGCATGTTCTTCCTCCGGGCCTGGCCTTGCCATGCGCCCAGCCACCCTCAAATTTGATTCTCTCAGGGGGTAGAGCACACACAAGTCCATATTCCTTATCTTTACGTTTGTGTTCTCGGTCATGCGTCGGGCACCCCCCTCGAGATCGTATGGGTCAATTTAATCGTTACCCGACACCTCCACCATTTTGTCGGGGCCGAACCCTGAAGGACGTTCGAGCCTTGGTCGACCCCACTGCGGGTTCCACTTGGCTCGACCCACCCACGCTCACTCTCAGGGCGCGGGTCGTTCGTCCCAGGGGCACCCCCACCTAGTGCTATGAGATGGATGGGGTTGGGCCAATACGGCGAGAGAGCTTAACATTGGGGATGTAGCTCAGCCCTCTGGCCTGCTGGTAGCCTCACTGGTCTAGGTCCGCATGCGTAAGGTTTTGGATTCTCTGTTTGTCTTACCAGGCAATTGCTCCTTCCAATACTCAGTCAGTCCAGGGAGGTTCATTGAGAGCTTTCTCTTCTTTACGGTGCGTAGGCTAAGCGTTCTCCTTAGGCCACGCACTCCTTCACTAACGGCCCTAGTTTCCTATAGCATCATCG